CGCGCATTGCACTCTGGGAACTAGTTGGCCAGGGAAAAGAGTGGCATGGTTTCGGTTTCGATCGACACGTCGACGAGAAATTATATACAGAGCGTGGACTTTTAACGGCCGTTATCTAATGTTTTCTGGTCCCGAGAGCGTCATTTGTGGTATCTATAGACTAACCGAAATGGCCAGACCGCGAAGCTCTAGCACAAGTCCGAGACGCACAGCTTGTCTTAACACATGCCTGTTGTATTTTTGTACTTGAGCCTTTCTGTTAGCGTTTCGAGGTATGTGGACGAGCCAGTGCTGGGAATCTCGACGCTGTGAAGCTTGGGGATCTTGCTTGTGTAGGAATCAACAAGCTGTAGACATCAGTAAGTATGCATAAATCGAGCTCGCGCCTTTACATTAGTGTTGTTAATCAGGAAGTTTGTTTGTTTCGTAGGTTCATAGACGAAATACGTATCGGTACACTCCTACCATCTCTCGGTAGGAGTGCAAAGCAGGGCGCGACCAAATCGGGCGGAGTGGCACTTGAGTGTGAAATGGTCTAAAGTAAAATAGATTTGGTCGTGCTCATCACCGCAGTGGTTGGACACAATCCATTACCCGAGTGTCCGCTGAGGCACTGATTATCACAAGCCGAAGTCGAGTGCTCACGTGTTCTCATGTCCAATCCATGAGTCGCGCTCGACTATCGTCAGGCAAGGGTTTTCGATCTCACAATTACGTCGTCAAGCTTTGGGAAGGCACGACTGGAAGAATTATTCCTCTTTTATCATCGCACTTTTCCTGCGACAAAGATGCTTCTGAATCAGTGACTGTCCGTGCAAGTATACTTGGGCCAGACTAGAACCAGTGAGCCTCTGCAAAGTTATCAACATTCCAATCCGATATTGTTTGTGACCCCTTTGAAGTCTTTAAGTCATAAAAAAAAAGTGAATTCGATTGGCCGCCGGAGTGTTAAAATTGTTGTTGAAATTCGTACGTCAATGAATGTTTAGATTGTCAGAGACTAGGCAAACATGAAAGTGCTTCTTAATTTATACTGGAGGACCCAATGAAGAAACAAGTGATGTTAAATTTTAAATTTCTTGAGTCTGCTCTTTAGGAGGAAGCATGTGCCTTAGGCATACGTCAGCTGCACGTTGGCCAGCTACCCCAAGGTTTCCAAAAAAACTCCTTTACAAGCACTTTGTTTTACCTGTTTTGACTAACTTCGTAGATCGTTTCAAAGTAAGACAAAGAATACATTATAGGTTGATGACCTAGTTCGATAAACATCTCTAAAACGGTTAGCACAAAGGACCAGGACAAGTAAAAGACTGGAAAGGACAAATGCTTCTCCTGTCCAGTCTTAGTTGTCTACAACAACGCTTAAGTTGTCTTTGTCGTTTGAGCTTATCTTTGTCTTTGAAATTGTCTTTGACTTTGCCTTTTGCGCTAACCTTTTCAGAGAAAAAATACTTGGCTACGAAATAAGGATTGGCAGATCTTTGGGACAGCTACAAGTATACAGATACTAGAACTTGTACTACAAAAGCAATCCCATGAAATTATAAATCTAGGACCACGTAAACTTACTTAACCAGCACGCTCCATTTCCACGAACGTAAACTTATTTTTAAAATCACTACGAAAGCTACACTTCAAAGTAACGACGCCTCAGCCATCTTGGTGCTTAAAATCATGATTTCTAGTTACCTAAAGCTTCATCTAAAATTACAGGAAACTTTTCCGTCACAAGGTGTTGAACTTGGCGGGTTGGTAAAAATTTGGCATGGTGGCCAGCTTCAAAAACCAAGATGATATTTTGATGACAAGGGCCTCCACGGAGGCCCGTGTCATCAAAATAGGCTGAATAGACGCAACCCATGCCAGTCATGCCCTGGCGCAAAAAGGACAGCTTCTTATCACATAAGGCCAACCGACTACTCACTCACGCATCTTTCTCCGAGGCACGAAATATAAAAAGCCGCAATAATTTCGCGAGTGGCCCTCTCTCTAGACCTCCCTTCAACCGTTACATCGTCGAAGGCCGGCTGACAAGTGCAGTCTCTGCAATGCAAAGGAAGGAGTCCCCCCACTGTGGCCCTCAGCGAGTACGCATGCTCTTGGAGCCTATCGTTAAGGCAACTCCCTGTCTCGCCTATGTAGAATCTTACACCATGACAGGGGAATCTTGTACAACACACTCGAGACGCATGACACAAAAGGTTTCGCGTGCATTTTGGTACACTTCGCTTTCACCCGATTCTTGGCTCTTGCGCCCACCCTCGCACAAATCTGGCTCTTTTTTGGGGGGCCGAGGACTCTACTGGGACTTCGTAACGGCCTCCAACTTGTTTAAGGTTGTGGGAGACACGGTGGATGTAGAGGACCACCACATTTCGCTTTTTATCTACGTCGGCCCTCACCCTCTCTATCCATTTTGCCTTCTTCAGATGGGCCCCTGCCACCTCCGTTAGAAACGCTGACAGGTACCCCGACACCCTCAGTCTCTTAACCTTCGTTAAGACTCTGTCGGTCATCATGGGAGTGCATGACTTCCCGAAAGCAGAGCCGAGACAGGAAACTGTTATGCCCCTCTTCACCAGCTTAGAGTGGGATGATCTGTAGTCCAATATCGCCTTCCTTGACCACGGACTGAAGGACCAGCATACCTCTGTGTCCTTGAGACACAGCGCCAGATCCAGAAACTAGAAAACCATATCCTTCGGTTCTTCAAACGTAAACCTAAGTCCCCCACCACTCCCACCGAAAGCACGTAAGACATTAGCCCACGTCGCCTCTGCATCCACTTTGTCAAACACCACTAGAAAATCGTCCACATACCGAAACACCTTCTTCACATTAGAATCTCTCAGAGCAACATCAATTGCACTGTCCACAACACCTAGGAAAATGTCACTGAGAATTGGTGCCGCACACGAGCCGATGCACACTCGCGTTTTTTGCAGGAAAAACTCATTGCGCCAGCCTACCACCATTGAGCTCAAAGAGAAGCCTAAAAGCTCAAGGAACCATTCGAGGGTGACACCACTAGTATTTCTGAACAACACCTCTCCGTTGAACTCAATGCAAGATATCTCACCGAGGAGAGCAACTGGTCGTGAGGAAGAGCATAGAACAGGTCCTCGACGTCTACACTAAAAGCAGACCAGCTCCCGCGTTCTTTTCTATTTAGAAAATTCACAACGGCTTCCGAGTTAGGCACCGGGAACGGATGCCTAACTCGCCATGAAGAACGCTGGAGCTAGTCGGCTTTTAGTGTAGACGTCGAGGACTTTTTCTATTCTCTTCCTCGCGAACAGTTGCTCTTCTCAGTGAGGTCTTGCATTGAATTTAACCGGGAGGTGGCGTTCAGAAATACTAGTGGTGTCACCCTCGAGGGGTTCCCTGAGGCTTCAGGCTTCTATTTGAGCTCAATGGTGGTAGGCTGACGCAATGAGTTTTTCCTGCGAAAAACGGGAATGTGCATCGGCTCGTTTGTGGCACCAACTCTCAGTGACAATTTCCTTGGTATTGTGGACAGTGCCATTGATATTTCTCTGAAAGATTTCAATCTAAGAAAGGTGTTTCAGCATCTGGACAATTTTCTGGTTGTGTATGACAAAGTGGATGGAGAGGCGACGCGGGCTAATGTCTTACGTGCTTTCGGTGAGAGCAGTGGGCGACTTAGGTTTACGTTTGAAGAACCGAAGGATTAGGTTCTCCAGTTTCTGGATCTGGCGGTGTCTCAAGGACACAGAGGTAAACTCGTCCTTCAATCCGTGTTCAAAAAAGGCGATTTTGGACTACAGATCATACCACTCCAAGCTGGTGAAGAGGGGCATAGCAGTTCCCTGCCATGGCTCTGCATTCGGGTCATGCGTTCACATGATAACCGACAGTCTCTTAACGCAGGTTAAGAGACTGAGGGCATCGGGGTACCTGTCAGCGTTTTTAACGAAGGTAACAAGTGCCCTTCTGAAGAAGGCAAAAGGGTTAGAGAGGGTGAGCACCAACGTAGATAAAAAGAAAAGGTGGTGATCCCCTACATTCACCGTTTGTCCAACAATCTTAGACAAGTTAGAGGCCGGTATGAAGTCCCAGTAGCGTTCTCGCCCCCCCCCCCCCTCCCACCGAAAAAAAAGGATGAACCAGATTTGTGGAAGGGTGGGCGCAACAGCCGGTAATTGGATGAAGGCGAAGTGTACCATCAGGCACTCAAAACCTTTTGTGTTATGCGTCTCGAGTGTGGTGTACGAGATCACCCTATCATGTTGAAAATTCCGCATAGGCGAGACAGGGAGGTGCATTAACGATAGGCTCCTGGAGCATGCTTACTCGCTGAGGGCCACGTTGGGGGCACTCCTCCCTTTGCATTGCAGAGACTGTACGTATCAGCCGGGCCTTGGACGAAGTGACGGTTGAAGGGAGGCATAGAGAGAGGGGGCCACTCACGAAATTATCACGGCTTTTTATAATTCATGCCTTGGAGAAAGATGAGTGAGTGAGCCTTCGGTTGCCTTATGAGATAAGAAGGTGTCCTTTTTGCGCCAGACCACGACTGGCATGGGTTGCGTCCAGTCAACCTATTTTGATGACATGAGCCTCCTGGAGGGCGTATTGTTTGATTACACTTTGTGTTATCTGGTACTGATGTATGTGTTCTCTTTTCCTTTTCAAATAAAACATTTCAATTGCGAGTACAGCTGTTGTCCTGTCGTGTCTATTCCTTTTATTGTCCTTGTTTTTTGAAGCTGTTACACCCACCATGTCAAACTTTTCCGCTTCAGAAAAGTTTCGAATGGCTACAATCGCCGATTCCGGCCGCTCTGCCCAAAGCACCAAAATGGCGGTGCTCATAAAAGGATCGAATAATAAAAAGCCGATACTCTGAGCGTATTTTGTGGCTCTACGTATTACGAATAAGATGGCACCCGTAATCAGGGGCTGATATGAGACCACAGACACATTTTCTTTGCCAGAAAAGAAGGGAAAAGAGCTTCAAAGGTACATAAAACGAATCCTTTAAAGCAATCGAGCGTGCCACTTTTATTGGCTTGCGGACACCAAAGCACCATCCCAGATGCTATTTGCAAGGGCGACCTCAGGGCAATGAGTTGTCCAAGAGACATTTCTGAAAAGCAAAAACATAAGAAGTCATGCTTGAGAACCGGCGCTTCATTGGTCCCTTGCCCCGGAACAACCAGTTGGTCACAGTATGGTGGTACACACAAATAAAGCCACACAAACTAATTTAAAAAACAAAGTATGCGACAACCTAACTTCGGAAACACAATACTTTGAAAAGACGTCAACAGGGGGAGTCAGGTTGTTCCAGGTTAGGAAAAGCAGTACAGGCTCCTCTTACAAAAACCTCAACGTTTTCTCCTTTAGCAGAGCGAACGCTGTAGAGGAGGTGAGAGGGAAGGAATGTCAACTCGCCTTTTCTTTTAAGTGTTCGCTCTGCTAAAGAAGAAAGCAGGGAGGGCTTTGTGGGACGACTTTGTCCTGCATTCTTAACTTGAAACAGAGTATACCGGAAAGACTATAGGGAGTATTCACTGAGCGCCTTATTTTTAGTGCGCTGCTCAGAGCGCTTGCTGAGAACAAACTTATATTATTAGGCTGCTATGATCCGTAATCTTGATAGTGTGGAATGCACGTTGCAAAAGAGCTGTGGAGGCTCATCGTCAGCACGCATATTGCTGTCACTCACGCAGCTATGGCCGCCAGTGAACACTCCCTATAGGTAGTGCAAATATTTTACTAGGGTGTGCTTTCTTATTACTCTTTAATTAGGAGTAGGCCCAATTGCTATCTTTGACTGAACAAGGTGAACCATTAAGGACGTTGACTCGGAGCGCTTGCCATGTACACATCGCGATACTGTTAGCTCAAACACGACATCGGCGCCTTTTCGCCTTATATTAGGAAAGAGTATTAGTAGACACACAATTTTATCCCTTATATTAGAGCCCTAAATGAATTCTTTTTACAACATTGATATATTTGATGAGAACCTTTTGGGTCTAAGAGAAAACACAGAAAACTGGCGATCGCTTGTTCGCGCTTGCAGTGTCGCGCTCTGTACGATTCGAATTAGATGTAAGAAAATATATAATGCTTGTGTACTAAACCGCGACATGCGGGATTTTGTTAAGTCGGGGCATATCACGAATTCTGCCAGGCTGGGCCGTTGCCATAGACACTGGCAAGGAGGTGAGAACGGCCGGGAGGAGCTCTAGTTGCCCTGCCTCCAACGCGAGCTTCCTACCTTCAACAAAGCGTCTGCGTCTTGTGCGCCTCAAACGCGCGGCGGGCAACCAAAGCACTGCGGAAGGCACGGAGCGCGTGCTGAAGGCCGTGCGTTTGAAAGACACGCCTTGCCGCTTTCACTCTATCAGTGACTATAGTGTTGAGAATCTCTCCATGCAAACGCTGGATCCACTAAACACTTACCTGGTTTAAATAAACTAGGCCCGTTTTCACCTCAAGAAAAAAAATAATAATAAAATATCAAGTTTTGCGCATTGTTTATACGCGGCGCGAAGTAGTTGTTACGAGATTTGGTTGTCGACGGAAAAAGCGATGCTTTTGGAGTTTGGAACGTGTACGTCTTAATAACATAACATATATGTAATCTACAAGTCACCTAGAGAAGAAAAAGAAGAAAATGGATGGTGCTATGGAGGTAAGCCTACATATCTATCTTAAGTCTCTACATAAAGGGAGAAGTCAGAGATGCTCCGCGAGAAGCCGGGCTTTTCTTTACTACGCTTCGTAAGGTGAAAACGGGTAGAGTGTTTCTGTTGACCCGTGGCGAGGCAATGAAGAGTGTGGCATTTTCACGAACATTTTAAACGAGCGTGTGTTTTGCAAAGAAAGAAGTAATGTGAAATAAAAACAATTTATGCTTTAAAGCCACTCTTGTTTATGCGAACATCTTAACAAAAGAAGCTTATGTAAATTTTTTTTACGTGTGTTATCAAGAGAACAGCCTCAACGAGGCAAGCAGGAAAACATATAAATAGGTGAATAGAAAAAGATTAGACAGACAGACAGACAGACAGACAGACAGATAGATAGATAGATAGATGGGTAGGTGGGTAGGTAGGTAGGTAGGTAGGTAGGTAGGTAGATAGATAGATAGATAGTAGTAGTAGTACTAGTAGTAGTAGTAGAAGTAGTAGTAGTAGTAGTAGTAGTAGTAGTAGTAGTAGTGGTAGTAGTAGTAGTAGTAGTAGTAGTAGTAGTAGTAGTAGTAGTAGTAGCAGCAGTAGTAGTAGTAGTAGTAGTAGTCGTCGTCGTCGTCGTCGTCCTTGGACGCCATAATTGAGTGTGATGTTAAGAGCACATGCTCAGAACTAGCTCACATCAACAGGCTGTTAAGGCCGGTAATCTTGGCGGTCCGGAATGCACTTTGCAAAAGAGCTGGGAAGCTCGCCATCAGCACGCGCTCAGCGACCGCGCACACAGCTATGGCTGCCAGTACATACTATCTATTGGCGACGTGTGCGAACGAAAGCGTCGCTATGTTCGGCCTGCCATGATTGGCCGAATGCTGACTACGTCATCAGTAAAGTATTTTTCATCAACAGAAATAAGAGAAATGTTAGAACTTTAATGTTGACGGTGTTGGCTGTGTCGCTTTGAAGGTGCAATGATTTCAAGCTTCCACTATGCTCATTACAAACACCATCGAACTTGTTCGCAAGGCAAAGACGTCACGAGAGAGAACCATAGGAAGGCGCCACAAAAACATCTCGCCGCTAATACTCCGTTCACCTTAAAGGCGTGTTCACACAGCACCGTTTTCTAACGTTATGTTACGTTACGAAAGCTTACGCAGAAGTCACCGGGACAGCTGTTCTTCAGATGGAGCGTGGCTTCGAGTTCAAGAAGATAGCCTGGCACCTGACATTCGAGACACGGATGTTTCGGCGCCTTATACGTAACGTAAGAAAACGGTGCTGTGTGAACCGGCCTTTAAGCTGAGACTGCAGCCAAAGCTACAAGCGCTAGCTAGCCCGCGCTCCTGTCTTTCAGACGTGCCTTTCTTGCTGAGCGCTCGTTCTGAGGAAGAATGCTTCAAAGCCTTGATCTTGTGCTCTCGTGCTTGTTGTATTGGTTGCAATCGAAGTATCGCGCTCCTTTTCCTTTCGCCACCAACTTTGTAGTGGCGGAGAAGCGGTCACATGCGCCGAGCTAGATCCAAGTTCAAGCAGGAAAGCGACCTTGCAGGCGCCGAGTTTCGGGCAGAGCATGTTTCTCGCTTTGCATTTTCGAAATATACATCCTACACTAAAATCGAACAAACCGGACGGTTCTTTGACCCTTGAACATTATGTGTAGCCCTAGGGTATAGTATAATCGCGTTTCTTTATAACGCGAGCTATGTTTTAAAACATATCTGTTTCCAAAGTGAGGGAAGCAGACGACACGGAGGACGATCGCGTAGCTTCACGGCCGCGCCATCCCGTCAGCCGCGCCTCCGTGTCTCCTGCAAAAACACCGGTCACTTCCCGCATTGCAGCCTGGGATCCAACATGGCCACCCTGGGAGCACCATTACGATACTCTGCACCGGACGCGGAGTGTTTACAGAATTACTCTGGCACGAACAACACATATCACGTCATAATGTCACGCGGAAGCATGAAGTCACGAGATGTCTTTCGGTCACTTGACAGACACCATTACGTGGCGTGACGTCACCGAGTCACGTGACACCGTGAGTCCTATGAATGCGACGCTACTACGTTACCTGTCACGGGACATCCTGATGTCATTCGTCACCGTGACGTCACGTGGCATGATGACGCCACGTGACGTCACAGTATTGCTTGACGTCACAAGACGCGTTACATCATTACGTCACGGGCCCTGCAAGGTATGTGTAATGTAACGTGTCGCCTAAACCTAACTGTTAAAACTTTTCAAATCTAAGCGCCTGTCCTGCTTACTTCTTGTCCTTGTTCCTGTTGCGCTATTTTATATGTTTTACTAAGTTTTTTTCATAGATTTCGGCTGATAATACACATTCTGTGTTAAAAGAAAGGAACCTCTGTAGATATAGTAAAGGATAGGAAGATTCGGTTATTTCGTTGTTTAGAAAAGAGGACAACTTACGATTCCACTGTCCAAGGAGTCTTTTTGTTTCTCGTTGAGAGATGCCTGCGTGAATCGTGACAGACATTATAGCCACACTATATCTTCCCTCGTTAGAGATGGCGCAATGACTTTCGAACTTTTGCCAAGTGATTGGGGGCAATAAATTAAAATGGGTGGGAGACTACCGAAAGAATTCTATCACATATGATGTCGGACTTAATAATGCAATCTGTAAATTTTCTAAACTTAAAAGTCGTTGCTCTGCCTCCTTCATATATCGCGCGTGAATGTGGCTATACTTACAGTTGCTTCAGGGCTCGCGAGACACCTAATGAACTGAAAATAAAAATAATAGAGAATGTTAATACTCTATGTGGGTGATTTAATAAATAAGTTGAGGACATATGCTTAACCTTCCCTCTCCGGTATTGGCGAAGAAAATATAAATACCGTTCATTAATGGAGCGATGGCTACTTTTTTAACTCTGGAACCTATTGGCGTTTTGGCACCGGGGAAAGCGCTTTAGCACTGGGTAGAGCACTTTAGAAACCAAGACGTTTGAGAAGCCGTATGGTGGAGTTTTCTCGCAACTCAGAGCGGAGGTACTTCAATGGACTTCTAAAATCGAAGTGATCCTAGCGGAGTAGTGCCACGCAAAGAATCTCGGGAAACCATTGGGCACTATATTTCGGCTTCGAGTTGTCAACTTCACATCCTAACATCCCGTTACGACCAAATACAGAGCTTGCTTTTTCGGAAGTGTGACTTTACTTAAATATATAATGCTCTAGGTGTTGCCTACCAATACAGATAGGATGCTACACTACGACGGATCCTAGTGGACTCTTCGAGCCATCCCAGAAATTCCAGTTCTGGGAGCATATAACGTAAATATTTCTCTTGGGTTCCGGTAAAAAAAAAAAGAAGATCTTCATGGAGAAAATGTCTCACGAAGGCCCGGAAACAAATATTACACGTTATAAAATGGCCACGAGTGGCAAGTATAAAAAAATTACCCCAAAAAGGGTAGAAAAAACATCATTCCTGCCGAAACCATTTTGAAATTAAGATATAAGCCTCGCCCATTCTCCCTAACAAAGTGATCACATGATGGTTTAAAGCGCGGTAATATTTTTTTTAAATAAAAATGTACGAACAAAGAACGACAACAGGGGGTTCCAGTTGGACACACTGGTGGGAAGCATGGAATGGGAGGTTTGGAAGCATTGCCGGTCACAACCATGCGCCATCCAACGGTGTCGACGGTCATCGATGACTTACGCTCCGAGAAATCAACCGTAACCATAAAGACGGCCAAGCACCGAGTCGGCGCTCCCTTGAAGAAGAGGAGCAAGTCGACGCTCGTCGATACGCAACGCCATCTCAAGAAAACCTTTGGGGAACTAAGCCGGTGGGACAAGATCAACTGAGGACTTCGTGCGTGCTCTCAGATGTACAGTGCGCCTCAAGCTTAACGCCGCCACGGCATTTGTCATTTCTAACAGTCCCTGCGGCAGCCGAGTGAACTATCTGAAGATTGTTTGGGTTCCCGATTTCTATCCCATCCTCAGAAGGCATCCCAAACGTTTTGGTGACAAATTTATTACTAAGTAGCCGAGACGAGCTTAATGTTTCGGAACACAGTGGCGGCGTTAAGTTTGAAGTGCACTGTACCATTTGATGCTAACGTTTCTGCGTGTACTGAGAATGCTCACGTCAATCTTGAAGTGCACCAAACCAGAACGCTATTACTGTGATGGGTAAATTGGCGAGTTCATTATTCCCCATTTCAAAATGGGTTTCACGGTTGAATACTTAATTCTTTTCTAACCCCTTGGGACCATTCTTTTTCTAGGAACATTCTCTTCGGGCCTCTTATTCTGGGGCCGTTTATTCCGGGACCACTTTTTTCCGGGCCAGTTTTTCCTTACACCCATTTCTACCGAAATGAGCTGTTGGGCTAGTTGGCTTTGTATATTTACAATGTAGCGCAAAGAACACATGTGCTTCCCTATCTCTGTCTCTTCCCTGTGTGGTCTTTGCACTACATTGTAAACACCCATTTCTATCCCGCCACTTTCCGTTGCGATCGGCATAGACATGTTACTGTCGTTTGATTGTGGGTCATTCCATGTGAAACGTCCCAGACGTTGCGCTCGACAACCTCCGACTTCTAAAAAAAAAATTCATGGGCTTCGGCCACAATGTCCGTAGCCATACCCTAAAATAGTTTTGACGAAAAAAAATTGTGATGACGTGAGCGCGATTTTAATTTTTGAAAACAGCGTGAAACTAGGCATCACTCAATAATTTACGAAAAATCAGCTTTTTTATGAAATACCCAACAATATTTCTTTCTTGAATTTGCATGGTTGTCGGCTTACAATGTGGTTGAGTTTGTGCAGTTTTGTTTAATTTAAATATTTTTAAAAAATGCATAATTTTATTCAAAAATAAACATTTTTGTTATTTTATTTAAAAAATATATAATTGCTCCCGGGATCTAATATAACTGTTTACTGGTTGCCCTCTAGGTGTATAACCTATAAAAAATATTTTAAACCGCTTAAGTAAACACCTTGCAGTAAAACAAAAAATCCTGAAGTTGCCAAAAAGTGCGTTTTGACGCATTAACAGCCGTTTATTCCACCCTGAGGTGGTCCAAGTAAAAATACAAAATATAGTGGGTTTGGAAGAACGATTGATCGTCTTTTGATTCTGAAAGTTTAATCCGAGTAAATTTTGTTTAAAGCGAGAAAACAATTTCTGAAGTTGAACTCTCGCACTACTACCCGGCGTCGCTTCTTAACGCCTCTTCGCCGCATAGCACGCCGCCTGCGACGATAGCCGAAGCGATTAGGTCCAAAGAAACAACGGAGTTTGCTGCCCGCTTCCCCTCGTCCCTCTTTTCTGGCTGTAAGGGAAGAAACGGCGGGTATCGTGTACTGATCGTAGGTGCCACCAGTGCGTCGGCATAACAGGCACGTTGTGCCCTTTGTACCCGAGGTCGGCTCCTCACACTCCGAAACGTGATGCCTAATCGACGGGCGGCATCAGCTGACGTGGACGTCTGAAACACGATAATATCTCCGCGATATCTAGCCGCCACGCATGCTGCGGTGAAAAGCGGAACTATGATCCGGTTCGCGCTTAGTTGGAGCGAAATGAAGGCGACAGGCGAGTGATCAAAGCTCTGAAACGCGCTGATTCAGTATGTTAACTCGGACGCTTGAAGCATCGTCACAAGCCAAGATTGCGCTTCTGGCATTATTTTAGGCCCATATTGTCTGTGCGGGAATCTTTACATGACCCATTGGAAATAGTGAATAAACAAAGGCACGTGTCCGTGCTGTGCAGAGAAGAGGCACGTACGAGAAACGACACCAGGTTGCGACGTAAGAGCTCAACTTCAAAATGTTTCTTTTTTTAGTATTTAGAACAAAATTAGTTTAACTAAACATTCAAGGACAAAAGGCAATAAACTCTTCTGTAAAAGTGATCATGTTTCGCTTTTTGTTTTCGGCCACCTCAAGGCAGAATTGACGGCTCTTTAAACGGCAGAACGACATTTGCACAAATTAAGTTGTTTTTTCTGCAAAATATTTAGTTGTACGGCCCGAAACTTTTTTTTGTGCATAATATTCATAGGGTTGGCAATAAGATGTTTAATCACCTGCAGCAACGAGATAGTTTGTAACCAAACTCAAAAAGGCTAAAATTCTCCTATATTAACTTTTTTTTTTTTTTTTTTAATTGCTTCAAGCGAATATTTATGATCCTTATTACACAGCAATCAAAATACCATGTGGTTTTTAGGAATACAAATAGTCCACTCTTCTATAAAAATATCTTAATTTTCATCAATTAATAAATGACTCCTAGTTTCACTCCTTTTTTACGAGTTCAAACCGCCATCACCCCATGAAATTTGTTTCTCGTCAAAAATATTTTAGAGAAGCACCACAAACGTTATGGTGAAGAACCATTAATTTTATTTTAGGAATCGGAGGTCGCCGTGGGACCTTTGGCATGGCATGAAGAAATCCAAGTAAGCTGATGCCGCCCGTCGATTAGGCATCACGTTTCGGAGTGTGAGGAGCCGCCCTCGGGTACAAAGGGCACAACGTGCCTGCTATGGCGACGCACTTTAGGCACCTCCGATTAGTACACGATACCCGCCGTTTCTTCCCTTACAGCCAGAAAGAGGGACGAGGGGAAGCGGGCAGCAAACTCCGTTGTTTCTTTGGACCTAATCGCGTCGGCTATTCTCGCAGGTGGCGTGCTGTGCGGGGAAGAGGCGTTAAGAAGCGACGCCGGGTAGTGGTGCGAGAGTTCAACTTCAAAAATTGTTTTCTCGCTTTAAACAAAAATTACTCCGATTAAACCTTCAGAATCAAAAGACGATCAATCGTTCTTCCAAACCCACCATATTTTGTATTTTTACTTGGACCACCTCAGGGTGGAATAAACGGCTGTTTATGCGTCTAAACACACTTTTTGGCAACTTCACGATTTTTGTTTTACTGCAAGGTGTTTAATTCAGCGGTTTAAAATATTTTTATAGGTTATATACCTAGAGGGCACCCAGTAAACAGTTATATTAGGTCCCGGGAGCAATTATATAATTTTTAATAAAATAACAAAATATTTTATTTTTGAATAAAATTTTGCATTTGTTTTAAATATTTAAATTAAACAAAACTGCACAAACTCAACCACATTGTAAGCCGACAACCGTGCAAATTTAAGAAAAAAAATATTGTTGGGTATTTCATAAAAAAAGCAGATTTTTCGTAAATTATTGAGTGATGCCTAGTTTCACGTTGTTTTCAAAAATTAAAATCGCGCTAACGTCACCACAATTTTTTTTTTTCGTCAAAACTATTTTAGGGTATGGCTACGGACATTGTGGCCGAAGCCCATGAATTTTTTCTTAGAAATCGGAGGTGGTCGAGCGCAACGTCTGGGGCGTTTCACATGGAATGACCCTTGTGTAATCTAACTGCGCAGCGCATGTTGAATACGAAAGGTTAGCAATCAGACACGCCGCGGTTAAATCACTCCTCGACTTTGCTGAACCAGTGTCGCCGTGGCTGCCGCTTCCTAAAGCTCAATGCAAAAACGCTGTGGCCTTGCCTCTCCATGGCGGCCGCTTCGCGAGCATTCCAGAGTGTAGTCCGGGTAGTTCCTCTCCAACATGGTCTTCACGCAGGGGATAGCCTGAAACGGAAACAGAGTAATTTAAAGCCGTACTAGAGAAAATACGGGCGCCGAGCTTGACTATATCTTATTTTATATTACGATGGACTGCAGCGGAAGCTACCACTCACCCCAACCGATCACGTGCCGGGAACTTACTACGTGACTACGCGGTCAAGAGGCGTTTAGACGGCATTGGATTGAATTCGATGGCTCGTGGCGTAAGCTGCCGTCTATCGTAAATTAAAACGTAGCATATACTAGTTAGTGGGACTAAAGGATACTGCTTTAAGCTCCCAATAGGCATATATTGATCACATCGGTTGTCCAGAAGCTGTCACGGTGGTCTCCCTCCTGCCAGGTGAAGCTTTCTTCACTACTGTACTTTGAGGCAATCCAATTGAAAAGGCTCATCAATTACAGTTTCACAGGCGGATGACTGGTTTTAACGAGGGTGTATAGACGATCGATTCGACATCGACGTTGTGAAGTTTCCACTGGGCGTGAACAGTTTGAAGAGAGGTTGCTCCGCCCAACGCACAATGACCGGAAGCTTGGCGGGCGTAACTCAATCAACCCCGTTGCAAAACATTTCCCATATTTGTTTTTCAAGTACTCTCAGTGGTCGGGCGACCAATATAGGAATTGATCTCGGACTACCTTCAAACTGACAGCGTCAGTTCCATGAAATCTATTTTAGAAAGTTGTTGGGCGTCGATCAAAAATTGTAACCTAATTAATTTCTACTCTTTAATCAATTGAGTTATCGATTAATTGATCTTGTTACTTTTCATGCATAATATCTCAAGAAGCGCGAAACTACACTATTTGTTTTAGTATTTCTTGTTATGTCATCTATGAATAGCCTTATTTAAAATTAGACGCCGTACAAAGCACACAGGCAAAAACAAAAACAAGAAACGAGCGAGAGATTTAAAAAGTAAAACATTAAACATTTTGACTGAAACCTTATAATCACTATGGATTACTCTGGAACGTCGAAGGAGTTTACCATAGCAAAAAATAACGTATCCTCCTAAGGCGGATAAATGTGCTCTATGCAGTAAGCAGGCGTTTTTATTTTCTCCCCGGAATTTACAACTCTGAATCCCACGGATCGATTAACCAGTTAAAATAAATTAATTGCGATTAAAGCATCAGTCGATTAATCGGAAGGTTAGTCAATCAATTTCTCAGCCCTAATTCTAAGCTTCCCCGACCTTTCATTATGACGAAACATATGTGATCTTTGTTTATTTCTTGATACATACAATTCTAACCCGAACCTTAGCGCCTCTCTCTTTGTGTCACCGCCGTACATTTCATCCTGCTGTGACCAACTGTTTAAGGCTGGTGTGCCCTGCAGCCGCACCAATTTGCACTTAAGGCCCTTCACATCGAATACTTGAACCGACTGGAAGAGCATCCCCGCCTCGACCGCTTCGGTCCCCGACACCGACTTGTTCGAGAACGCTATTTCTAATCTTGTACCATTCCTCCAATGAGTTAATTTTCGTTCTTATTGCGTTAACCAAATACTCTCTGTAATACTTAGGCCCTGAGAGTAAGCAAAAAAATTAATGAATATATCATTAATGAAATGCAAATATCTCGACAAGGCCTCGCTGTTGTGCGTATTGACGGCGTCTCAGCAGTCCTATGAGGGGCGCAAGTTCGTCCTCATCATGGGCAGGGGTTGCTGGGACGCCAGAACGCCGGCAACTGATTGGCTTCGATCGGATGGATAGACCTCGCGACAGCTAGCATTGCCAGGTGTACCCACTGTCCTTCCAATCAGAGAGCTCGGCGTTCTGACGTCACTGTAACCCCTGCGCAAGAAACAGACAAGCTTGCGCTCCGCATAGTGAGTCCCGAGCATCTCATTATCGCCCGGCTGCCAATCGGATTGCAGCATCAGCCGATGAGAATGCCAAATAAACGATCACGATGCAAGAAACGTGATCATAAAAGGCCCCACCCTGTGTCCCTTGAGCTGTAAGGGTTGTGATTAAAAGGGCCTGTTTTACAAGGGCAGTCGTTCCCAAAACGAGCAGTGACGTTGCCTCACGAATGTTAGTCAAAGCGATTGTCTACAAAACGGTTCGCTAAAAGTCTAAAAGCTCTAATCAAACGTCTTGAGAGATGGCTGGTTTCGGAGCGTCTGCTATATATATCATATGGAAGGTATGTGATGTAAAATTGCGAGAAGCTTACGGTGTACTCGTCCCATCGATCCTTCATAACGTCTAGCAGACCCACCAGTCCGAACATTTTCACGCTGCAACTTCTAAAGACTGAAAAAAAGAAGAGACGCAGAGTTTAGTCGTTTCCGTCACTTGTATCAAAACGTATTTTTAATTTTAAATTTCATAGTCCCAATTTTACATACGCAGTCCAAGAATTGCCGAGAGGAATACGAGTAATTCCTCAAAACCCCTCCCTTCTCCATAAAGAAAAAAAAACAACAAAAAAACACTGATGCGTTGTGAGAGGTGCCAAAAGGTGGACAATCGACTGGAACAGAGAGGCCAGACGTGGCAAATTGCACCGGGCTCAATAGGCACCAACGTTTTCTCACCCTGTTACAGCTGCTTTGGAGTTTATTTTCAGTCGGGGCGTCGAAGTATGGTAAAATCCCGAATAAGCGCCCACCAACGGTGGGGAGATGAAAGGAGCCAATATGAGGCGGGTGATCTTTTGGAGGAGAGCGTTCGTTAAACCGCGGTCGCACTGTTCACGCATCTTGCAAAGACACGGAGTTTCTCTGTAGACACGATGACATAATTATGCGCGGACACGCCTCAAGCATGATCGAGGTATTTTTTTTTCTCCTTACACCTGCACGCTTCGAAGATGTCTCGAGACATTTTTTTAACACAAAATGTGCTATTTGTCTGGTATCTAACCATTTCCGGTTAGGTGCAAGCAACGGAAGTCCACAGGCAGACTGCCTGGCCAGCGCTGACGCTGGGCTCGTCTCCGCTCTGACCGGACACCAGTGTCAGCCGAACCTCTTCCCCGAGTGAGCGCGTGTTACTCCTGGCAACGGTAAAACATCACATGTTCAGACGCACAGCGGCGCTCTACTGTGTGAGATGATCGCGCTACGGGATTCCCCAGTGAAGGGTGCGCAAAAAAAAGAATGACGGGAAACAGGCAAAAAAATACTTTGCCACAACGGATTTTGGTAGTTCCTAAAGTCACTGGATCCTGGGAAAGTATCGTTATTCCCTTCCCTCTCTATTAGCCTGACACAAACATATACTAACATACAGACAACCAGAATCTCAAAAGGCGATTGGCTAATCTGATCAGAATATTTCATTTAATACAGTGGTGTCAAGACAAACACAAAACCAAAACACAAAACGCGTTATCTGTCTACGTTGCCGTAGAAATCCCCATCTCGGTCCATTCAAATATTCGAAGCCTGCAGGGTCGTTCTAAACCATTCGCGCCAAGGTCACGATGGGGCAACATTGTACTGGAAGCGTTCCTCGCCACTATAAGCGTCTTTGGCACTGTGCATGCAATAGGCCTATTAATCATACCCATCTAATCGGATTTCTTACAATTATATTGTTTTTCTTGCGAATCGCAAAACAGTAAATCAGTTTTTCAGTTCCACCAAGCACCGACACAGCATGTTGTGTTGATACGAAAATGTACGCTTGTTTCGGCGGTGTGTGGATATAGCAAAATCTCGGCACACAAGAAGCGTCTCCATAAAGCTGCCCGTCACCAGCGAATTTAGATCGGCTCACCAAGAACGGAGAGGTCAAAAGAGAAATTGCTCGTTTAACGGACCAAAATAGTGACCTTACGGCGCTACTATCCCAGGATCCAGTTAGTAGTTCCGAGTATCTGGTTCTCTTTTGCCGCGAGCTTGTTCCAGGGCTCTGCTCGGCGCTGCCGGGTTTCAATGGTTCTGTTTTCCGCACGCTCCGTTTAGTGCGTCTCACACTCCAACAAGCCCTGAGAAAGTCGCGTTCACACCGCAACCGCGAAAGGTGGCACCCACTAAGTCATTCACGGAGCACTCACGTGCTACACCTTGCTCGACAGAGGGCCGTCATATAAGAAAACAAACTGGCGTCGTGTAGACCTTTCAAAAAAAGAAAAAAGAAAGGTGCTTCTGGGTGGTTTTATTTTCAATGTCCGTGCGTATGGCACGTGATTTGCTCGCTTTCCAAAGCGGCAATCATGCGCCCGCTCAGCTGAGGATATTGCACGCGGGGCTGAGGACTTGTTGGAATGCTGTATAGTGCCGTGCAGGCTGCCTTTCGTATGATGTTTGACCGCAGTCTTCAGCCGGGGTGCACGCTGCTCATACATCACACAAAAGGGCGTGTGCACACGCGAGTCACCGCAATATCCGTGGTTCGAATGCCGCATGCCCAGGTTTCTTCTGGAACTCAGTCGTGCGGCATTCGAAGCACGGCTCTTGCAGTGACTCACGTTCGGATCTGTTTGCAGACTGTCTGGTGCATAATGTACAAGCAGTGTGATCCCGGCTTTAGCGTTTGTACTCAAAGTAGTTTTCATTCGTTAAGGCTCAACTCCAAGGGGCGAATAGGCTCCAAAAAATCAACGAATTGTGCCTGAAGGCTTTTGCATTGCACGTGTCATCAGCACAGTGGCGACTACATCGCGTTCAAATAGAGCGTGACGTCGGGCGAAGTTCGTCAGTTATTCCTCGCATAATTTGCTCCATGAAGTTCAGCCATTACAGTTAAAGTATGTCTATTGTGCGAACCTATTCTTACAACTAACAGTTCTTCCACGAAATGGACTTGATCCTGCTCGTCGGTTGTTGTTAGTACTAAAGTCACTGGTTGTTGAAAAAATAGCACCATTGCCTTCCCTGCCTGCTAGCCAGACATAAACAAATACTAGCATGCAGGCGACTAAATCTCGCAAGGTAATTCACTGATAGGTCTCAGTTGCCATGGAAGTCACCATTTCGGTCAAATAAAATCTTCAAAGCTTCGAAAGGGTCATTCTAAACCAGTCGCGCCAAGATCTCTAGAGAGCCTCATCGTACTGTAAGCGTTCCTCGCCCATGTAAGCGTCTTTGTCACAGTGAATGCGATCAACTTATCATTCATGCTTATCTCCTCAGATATTGCGTATTTAAAGTAAGAAAATTATTTTTCAACGCCACCAAGCACCGACGCCGCATCTGGTTGGGGAGTGCAGATGTTGCGAAGTTGTGGAGCGCATAAAGAAAAATTGGTTTGCTCTGTATGTTTACAACAGCCTTGATGGCGATGCGCCTCAACGGGTAATCGGTCTCTTAGCTGTAGATGATAAATTTAGCCAGTACAGTACAACCGCTAACCTGGGTTTTTTAACGTGCATCACGGAGCAGTGATCACACGAACGCGTGCCGGTACGAAACTCATCCAGATCGAAACGGGCGGGGGCGGCGGGGACCGAACCCAGGAGGTTCCCAGCGCAAGCTTTCGTTCCACGCTCCGAGCTGAGACGCGTTAGCCCACTAAGCCACCTTTTTCGGCTAGGCAACCCAGAAAACTGCTAAATTTAACGTCCTTATTCGCCTTAACCGTCCTTATTCGCGCATGTGTTTTCAAGGCCGCTAGGGGCGCTACCGCGCCTGCGCGTGGAGCCCCAACCAGATAGCGCCCCTGCCGGGAGACGCGCGAAGCCCGAGCAGAATTTCGGCAATATCTCTTGTCTTGTCTTGTTCCGAAACCTCGCACTTGTTGCACCGTGCTTCCTTCCAGCTTACGAGGGAAGCGAGACGGTATATTCGCCCCTTGGCCACGTGAGGGCAGGGCCGCTGACGCAAAGATGCACTCCGATAGGAAACCGAAACATATTCGGAGCGCAAAAAAATTGGGTTGTGTGTGTGTTTATACAGCCTAGAACTTGGTCTGCCTCACAGGGGCGACGAGTCTCCCAGCTGTAGACTAGAAATTTAGCCAGTGCGGTACAGCCGCTAGCGCAAGTTGGTCTGATTCTTGCGCACGGGCTACATTGACGTCAGAACACCGAGCTCTGAAAGGCTCGGATTGAAAGCATAGTGGGTAGACATCAATGCTAGCTGCCTTGATGCCTACCCACTATCCTTCCAATCGGAGCCAACCACAGCTCGGCTCGAACTTCAGCTCCACATAGACGCGTCCAAATTGAGCGTTTCTTTTTTTTTTAGAGCGCAGCTGTTAGGCGCCCGTTTCTGGCTTGAGCGGCGTCGCCGTCGCCCCCGCCGTCGGCTTACTCGCGCGTTCATGCGTAACGTCGCACGTGACATCACGTGTGACAACATTATAGGAAACACTTCACGTATGACGTCGCGTGTGACGTCACGTGATGTCACAGGCATCTAACATTGCATAAATTCCCGCTAAATTTAGCGGTGAAATTTTGTCACGAAATTTGGCGGAAACATATTTTAGCTAAATTCACCCTCGTGGCGTCACGTGTGACGACGCGTGTGACGCCAAGTGTGACGTCAAGTGTGACGTCAGGAGGGTAAAATTTCCCGTTAAATTTAGTGAGGAAGGAAGAGGGGCATGCCCTCCCCTCCGTACCCTTTCCTCCTCCTCCTCAAGAGCTGCGCTCTAATTCGGCGTTACAGAAAATTATAAACGTCTTTCATTTTTCTTTAAATGACATAAAATGCTTTACTTACCTTTTATTTTTCTAAAGTTGATAGCGTGGCTTTCGATGATGCTCGTGAAGTTATTAATGGGAACCATATGTTTATTTTCACTAAATTATAAGTTAATTACTAAATTTGAGCTAATTATATAACTAACTAGTTGGAATTTTTGCAATACCTGACGCCCAGCGTTGCTTCGCAGCTTGCTCCCGCAAGAAAAAGTGCTTTTGTTTTAGAACACTCAGTTTTTTGTGAGTTTTAAATGCCTCTACTGAAACGCACGGTATAACGTGTTTTTTTCTTCTACCGATTGCTGACTTATTATATTGTTAAAAATATATATATATCGTACAAATGTTTACAATCGCGCCTTAAAGATTTCTGAATCTTCACCCGGAAGTTCCGCTTCGCAGCTTGAGATATTTTCCGCGTTCTTCTGCTGCAATCAACTACTGGATAGCTTCTTTTGGATTTTTTGAGTTAGACGGTTACTCTGTGGTTCTTCGAGGATTCCCACTGAAAGAAATATCCAAGGGCGAGATCTAGTGAGCGCTTCGGCCACGGGATGTCTCCGAGGTGGCGCAGTGATCGCGCAGTAATAAGACCGTGCTTGGTCGTTGAAAAAAAAAAAGGAAAAAAAATGTAAACTGCCAGCTTTTATAGCTAGGGCTCGTTAACACATTCGCGTTTGAGTGTCATGGACTGCGTTCTAACCGTTTGCAAACCGTTTCCGACAAGAGGACGCACTTTCCACCATCTCTAGGTAGCCTTCGGCACACCTTCTGTCTGCGTATGAATGTTTTGTGTGTTTGGGAGTTCAGACCGACGCACTATCCACAAGAAATGGTGTCCTATAACATTTTCATTTTTTTTTTTAAACCGATGGTGAAAGAATAGTGAGTAAAATCTGAGGAAATGTACGCAGATCAAAAACTGTTCCATTGCTCCCGGACAGGCTACGCTACGTGTTCTCTCGTAGAAAGCAGACACAAGCAGTGGCGACGTAGCCGATCCCACTCAGACGCCAATGTGCGAACTACGACGCGTTCTTTATTTGCTTTTTAGGACCGGCAGCGCGACCGAATCCTCGCTCTCCGGCGTTTTTACTTGAAAACAGTTTGCGCTGTGGCAGTGAGCATGACGTTTGTGAGAGAAGCAGACGCCCCAGATATTTTCGAGTCTACACTAGAGAATACAGACGCTCATCGAGGCTAACTGTCCGCCGTATAAACATCAAAACAACACGATGATATGTTTTTTCTCTTGTAACTTACCTTTCCTGCACTGGGGGGTCATCACTGCGGGATTGACGCTGAGCAGTCTCTTCTTGAACTCCGCGTGGCTTGTGACGGCCTCATTCTCGGCGACGAGGCAACTCAGCACGAGCACTACGACGCAAACCCACAGCTTCGAGTTCATGTCGGAAGTTTGAGGGCTTTATCTCTGCTCTGACTTGGGCGTTCCTGGCACGGCGCGGATATAACGTCTCGGGCGCGCAACATATAGCTGGAGACGACCTCGCTCATGCATCAGTGTCGAGTCGGTCGTGTTTGAAGTGCGAAGGCTGAAGCATACAGGGGAATCGCTGCCGCCAAGATCCGAGGCACGTGCTTGATTTGTCAACTGCGCGCCTTCCCTCCCGGTGTCCTCACTTATTCAGCTGGAAGTGGGAAAAGCGATGGTGTCTACACCGCGTCCGCTGACGCGTGACGAGTCGATCGCGCAGCTATGCACGCATAACTACGTAAAAAAAGAAACAGAAAAAAAAACACGCATAACTAAAAAAAAAAAGAAAGAAAAATTGGTGGATGATAGGATAAATTAACCTTTCTAATTCTATCTCAATCCTCGATTGTCGTTATTATTTTTATGAAGGGTAGGTGGTTTAAGCATCTTTCGATGCTAAATGAAATGCTAGCACAAAAATGTAAAAAAACGAGGACAACGCGCAGGCGAGCTGATGCGTATTGATCATGATGTTTTAACGCTGACACTGGGAAGGAAACTTCAAGATATATTAGATATATATGAAGTTTCCTTTTTAGTTTCAGGGTTAAAACATCCTGACTAAAATGTAAGTGCCCCTTAAATATCTTAAAAAGAAAAGTAAGCGAACTGGGGAGTTTTTAATATTTTGAAAATGCCATTCTGAGTGAAAAAGAGAAAGAACAGCACACGGACAAGTCACGCGCTAAGTCTGGGTTTCCGCTTTTTACGATGCTTCTCTGGAAATCTTTCCAGAATCAAACCGCTGAAACACAGAACCGCAGATAAATAAAATTAAAAAAACACCTCCGCTCCACTTTTTTTTTTAGTTTTGTGGTTATGGCACTAAATAAAGGTTCGTAAATTTCGCGGTTTTTGAATTGTGAATAGTTTTGCCGGTATCTGTTGTCAAAATTTCGCCGGGGGGTTACGGATGAGCGGAAACTGTCGGTTAGTGATCGATAGCTACCGACTGTTTTACTGAAAGAGGGCAAGAAAGAAAAAGAAAGGGGAAAGGGCTACCGGCGCCTTCCTCCTGCTGGTGTGTTAGGAACGAGCCGAAGACCGGGATGAACGCCTTGGACGCATGTATTGCTCCAAGTTCGCTCGTTTTCTTCGCGGTTTCCCTGATTTTTTTACTTCCAAGTTTATTTAGAGCTAGCGCATTCAATGACGACAATACCCTGGTCAAAGGGACACCATGTTCGGTAGAAGGCTGCACGAATAACAACAGAAAGCGCAGAATATTATTGGAAACACTGGCATCGCGCACGGGATTCGACTAGGGAACTGCGGCTGCAACGTCCTCAAATTCTATCGCTTACCACATGGCCAAGACCTCCGGAGGCAATGGGTTGCGTTCGTAAACAAAATATACTTCTCTCCGAAGCCATCCTTTCGAGAGTGCTCGCAATATTTTGTAAATAAAGCTCGCGCCGAACTTAACCGCTGTGCCGTCGATGAACATGACCTACGCTCGCAAAGTGGGTGCAAGTGTTCCTGTAAAAATCACCCTTTTCATATTGTAACTTTTCGTAGCTTAATTTATCTTAACGCTGATTTCTTGCAGTGGTGACATTGACAAGATTTTATCGACTACAACGTTCATAGCCGAAGGCTCATTGTGCCACTGGGTGTGGCTAAAAAGTGTCGAAAAGTTAGTTCTAATGGTTTTCCTTAATCGCAATCTTTTGAGTGATAACAAAGAGCCGTAAACTTACGTTGACCGTCACAACGCGACTGCGTTGTTCTTAATCTTAAAAATAATACATAACATAGCTGAAAAAAAAAAACTTCAATTTCTATTGTTGAAACATGCTCATGCATCGATTTTGCATCGTTGAATCATTGATCGACTTGCTCCGGCAATGGGCCCATCTCGACTTCGCTGTTTTCAGTTCTAGACAAAGGACACACTCGTCGACACGGGATCCTCAATTAAAACTTTGGTAGACATCTGCGAGCCGGAGGGAGCTGCCTTCGATTGTTTCCTGAAATGTTCTTATTTCGGGAGTCCTTGTTCACATTATGTTTCATTGTTGTGGACGACACAAAACGCCAAAAATATTGTCGGTGTAGTGGATCTAAAACGACATTAAATTGAATTGCTGTAAACTGATACAATATTTTCAGTACACATCTCTGATTTCTACCGGTGGCGCGATCAGTGCCGCTTTTCTCGGCATCGCCGCACTGGCGGATGCCGCAATGCGGGGAAAGAAACGTTCCCAAATGAGGCGCTCATTCGCGGGACACAAGAACACAAGACACGCCCCAAAGTCGGATACTCAGCACTTTGAACGCTCGCTAGATGGTGCTACACTATTCAAAATGTTAAATTCAAAACGATAAAACGGTTAATAGACTGGTACTTGGCTGTCATGGCGACGGGCATGGTTTTATAACGTCACGTTCGTATTGTGGAACATTGAGCGTGCTCAGTTGTCTAAGTATTCTTGAGAAGGACGTCAAATTTCTCCGAATTTACTGACTTGATTTACGTATATGCAGTAACTCTAACAAGGAATAATCTGAATTCAAAAATTTGACGACAGGAAAGCCGGTTTGTCTGCGCTCTGATAAAACCCAAGTTTATTCCTTATTGGAAGAGAAATTGAGACTGACAAATAAAAAATAAATGGACAGCACGGCACAAAATCTCGAACGCAGGTGAGTTTACTTACAAAAGGACGCCAATAAATAGCCGTCCACACAAAAACAGGAACAAAGGAAGGATGAAAGAGACATTTTCCACAGAGCTAGACAGACACACCATCCCCACAAAGAGAGAACCACCGCCCGGTAACACCACCGGTTCCCAAGGGCCTCAATGATAAGCTTTCTCAAGGGCGCGCGAGCCAGCCCCTACCCTTCCCTCGCTTGCCGCAAGCCAGGCTTGTACGTAGTTCAACTGCTCTACTCAAGTTTCTGTAGTTTAGCTACTTTTCTGAGTAGTTTAGTAACTTTCAATCAGATTTTTATTTCAGTAGCCAGTAGTTTACTTTAATTACGTTTTCCGAGTAGCTTCCACTCAAGTTACAAATTACTTTCCAATTTTAGTGGCAGGTTTGCTTATCAACAAACATTCCTGCACAAAAAGACATAAGATTTTGGAAGATCAGCTGATATTTGCAAAGAGGGGGAGGCATGTGCCGTAGGCAGGATTTGGAAAGTCCGGGACCCCCCCCCCCCCCCCCCCCCCTTACTGCAACAACCCTGCTACGAGGCGCGGGGAGCGGACAGACACGTCGCAAATGAGGCCGAGTAACTGCGGGATTAACGCCGAAGGCTGGCGTTCCTTTGTGTCCCGAAGGTGTAGCAGACGACGCATTTGAAGAAAGGGCTTGTTCCCGCTTCTCCCCAACGTAGGAACTCTCGCACACTAAAGGAAGTGTACACATGCATCCTCACTCAGGGGAGGCAAAAAAGTGCAGCACCCGCTCTGAAGCTCATCTGGTGCACCCGTGGTTTGTGCTGTACTAAAAGAATCTCGTGCTAAAGGGCAACGTAAAGGTAACCTCTTTGCGTTGCCTTTCCTCCCAAAACTCAGAATATGCAGTCCTTCCAAGATTCAATGATTGTTCGAGAAACCGTTTTCACACAAAGAAAAAAAAAGTGGTGTTGGAAAGCATTACAAGTATATGTGCTTAAAGGCGCCCTGCAAGGACTTTATTTTACTGGTTTTTAATTTGCAACGAACCATAGTGCACTGAACGTAATAACTTTATAAAACTTTCGTTTTCTCGAATTTCGGTTTATTTAAAAGTTATAGGCAAATTAAAATTACAAGAAGAAGCAAAAAATAACCTCCTTCATGACGTCCCTGGTTGCTTGAGTGGCTGTGAACTAGAAAAGGGTTACAGTTGAAAACGAGCGTGTTCGTTAATAGATACAAAACTTGAAAGTATAAAACAGAGAGGACGAGGACGGGAACAGGACATCTTTCATTTAGCAACAACATAGAATGGCACAACGGTTTTATCGTTGTGCCATTCAATGTTGTTGCTAAATGAAAGATGTCCTGTTCCCGTCCTCGTCCTCTCTGTTTTATACTTTCATGTTTTGTATAGAAAAGGGGTAGTGAGTTCAACGAGCGCTCACGGCTGCCGCACTCCGTATCTACGGCTCGAGAGGGCGCCACTAAAGCACGTTCCGGCTAGGCTGTATGAAGCAAGCAGTTAGGGCGGCTCGCAGTCCATTTGCTGCGCGATTAAACACTAATTCGGCATGACACTTCATTGGCCACAAACGACAGCAAACACGCGGTAAAGATCAGTTCAGAACGGGAGCCACTTCCCGCTGCCATACCGCCAAAGGGCCAAACCGCAAGCCAAAGCTGCTCACCGAAGGACTTGGGAACGCTTGGAACCGGTCGGATCCTCCAGTCAATACGACCGCAGCGCCGCCGCGTACATCCGGGACCTTTCTACACTCGCCGCTCGTAGGTGCCTGACCCCACTGCACCCTTCTAGTATGCGCCGCCTTTTCCACCGCTTGGTGGCGGGTATGTCGACGGGTCATTTCTTTTTTACGTACTTTCTAAAGAGCATATGTTTCTTTTCCGATCTAAAATAGTAAACAAAAACTACTTTTATAAATTATTGAAACAGTTCGCGCCACTTATATTTTGTATTTAGACTCAACAGAAGCTATTATAGCGGCTCTGACCAGTAGTAAGCCCAGGACCAAAGACTTCACATATCGCGCGCTGTCGGCACCGCGGGTCGCCCCCGTAGGTGGAGGAAGTTCCTGCATCATCCGCTTAAATTTGGACGCACTGATATTTAGTTGCTCTCTCCGTGCCCACTGGCATGCTCGAACCCCAAGAGATGTGGAAACCGCAAAAAAGGTAGACGCCTAAATATGGTTGCAGGGCCCCTTTAATGTACTACTTCAAGTAGGTTTACAAGACTTGTACTTTAGTTGAAATGCGTTATGCGAGCATTTACTTGTATTTTACTAAAATATATTTCTGGTACTTTCCAAGGACAGTTCAACTCCCGACTAAAAATACACTCTCCAAATTTAAAAAAAAAAAAAAAAAAATGGCGTACTATCAAGTGAGAACGCGCTATCGTCTTTCGAGACGTCATCTGGTCATTTTGCTGAGTGAAGTAATAGCAGCTGTAAGACTGATAGAAAGAACTGTCTT